CGTGGCGTGTGCCGGTCCCCGTGTACCCGGGATGCCCTAGAGCTGTACCATAGCACAGAGCTCGTAGGGAAAACTGAGCGTGGCTGAGCTGTGTTGGGCCAGAGATCCCCCATCCCTTATACTGCCTCCATCTCTCCTGGGTTTGTCCCCAGCATCCTGTCTTCTCTCCCGTTCCAGGTCACCAAGGAGGCTTTTGCATGATGTGTGTTATGCAGAACCACATGATCCAGGCTTTTGCCAACAGCGGCAATGCAATAAAGCCAGTGTCCTTCATCCGAGACCTCAAGAGTAAGGATGGCTGCTCTCCCCTCTTCTCCTGTAGCCGTGCAGGAGAGCGGTGACTAATGCAGGAGCAGAACCTTTGAGATCGGGGCAGGTCCTGGCAGACGGCTCTTCTAAGATGACTCACGGAGCCTGCCGGGGGCTGGTGACTTCATGGGCTGTGTGGGGCTTCCCCCGTGGCCAGCATGAGTCTGACATCTGGTTTGGGTTGCGGGGGCTCAAATCCCAGAGCCCCTGCCCCAAGGGAGGGAGGGCAGGCGGGCCTGCATCTGTTTGCAGCACGTGCTGGGGCTGATTCCTCCCTCTCCTGCAGAGATTGCCCAGCACATCCGCTTCGGCAACCAGGAGGATGCGCACGAGTTCCTGCGTTACACCATTGATGCCATGCAGAAGGCCTGCCTGAATGGCTGTACCAAGTACGTGGGGCCTCTGGTCCATCGCTGCTCTTCTCTGCTGTCCCCTCACTGGTCCCCTGCACCCATGGGAGGGGACTGTGGGGTGAATGTGTCTCCTAGGTCAGATTTGTAGAGGGAGATGCTGACGCCAGGGGCCTCTGCCCCTCTGTGACACAGCTCTGGGCTGTTGTCTGCCTTCTCCTGGCTCTTCTGCCCTAGCATAGCTGTGGTCCTGTCCCCAAATCGTGGGGCTGCTATGGGTTTGGATCCTGTCCCAGTTGCCAAGGAATCCAGGCGTGCTTGCTAGTTCAGCCCCAGATCTGTGTCTGTGGGTGAGCAGCTTCTCCCTGGGCCCTCTGTTCCAGGAAGCCTGCGTTGCCTTTGTCTGCAGGGCCCAGCTCTGAGCTCCAGCCAGGAGCTTCTGCTCCTTCTGGAGGAAGGTGCCCGTCGGAGCCTGGTGCTGCCCCTTGAGCTCCGGCACTGGGAGAGCAAACTGGCAGAGGCTGCGGCTTCCCTCTGCTCCTGGAGCTCTGCAGCCCATCCGCTGGCCAGAGCACGTAGGGGAGCTGTCCTGGGGACGCAGCGGTGGCCCGCGGGGGTAGCCGTTGCGGAGGGGCAGCGTGAGATCCGGTGCTGCTGTCTCTAGGTTGGATCGCCAGACCCAGGCCACGACGCTGGTTCACCAGATCTTTGGCGGTTACCTGCGGTCCCGTGGTGAGTGCTGGCTGCCAGGTCCTGGGCCTGCGACTCTCGGGGCTGCCGTTTCCCTGAGAGCCTTGCAGTAAAAATCTTTGGGGAAAATTGCTGAGCGTGTGTAAATTATCCAGAGCTGCAGCTGCTCAGTCTTGCGGTACCTGTGGGTCATGACCCCTGTTGTGGCAATAGAAAAAGCTGTCAGCTCTGGGTCCCCAGCTCGTTGCCACCGGCAAAGGAACCCATGTTGCCAGCTATCTAGCAACACTTGCTGTCCCAGCACGTAGTGGAATTGCCAGCCTTCCTCCTTGCCAGGCTGTGAATCCTGGTGCTGACATCCCAGAGCCCAAACCCGGAGAGGGGGAATACTGCAGCTGCGTGCACTGTGCTGGGATGGTGGCAGGCACAGAGCTCATTGCTCTTTCTTTTGCAGTGAAGTGCTCAGTGTGCAAGAGCGTCTCAGACACCTATGACCCTTACCTGGACCTGGCGCTGGAGATCAGGGTACTGCAGGGTCGGGGATGGGGAGGAGTTCTGCTCGCACGAGGGATGTTCCTACAACCGCACCATTACTCCTCTCAAGGCTCCTTAACCTGCCAGTGTCAAGGCACAGTGCAGGCAGGAGGGAAGCAGCTTCCATTGTTGCGCTGCCTTCTTTACCTGGCGGAGCAGTGCCTCTTGCCTGGGC